TCACAAGGAAATGTTATATGAATATTCAACAACGAAAAAAATCACAAAATCTTCTGTAGCATAGAACATAATTTCATGTACAAATATTGAGAGCTGCATTTTAAAAAACAACAAAATGATGGATAGTTTAGTTGATGCTAAATCGGGGATGCTAAGGAAGCAATTTAGTGATCTATAATTATGTTTACAGTTGGGTAGTATTCGACTTGAATCAAGGACCTCTTGATTTGAAACTCCTGTGTGTCATGTTCAAGCGACAATACTATTCTTGGCCTTGTCACATAGAACAACATTCATATTTCAAGATCAATTTGTGAATGCATTACAGTTACAATATTTCATAAAGGAAGTTATTAATACATGTAATTGACAAAATATCAATAGCAGAGATGCCAAGTTCAAAGATCGGCAATGCGTGACATTTTCATGATTCAGCGCGCAAGTGCGCGTGCGAGGGTATAACACACGTATAAGGTATAATGTTTTTTCAAAATCTAGCACGCGCGTTGTGCGGAAGAGCATTTTCAGACCCTCGAAAAGGGTGATGTCACGCCTAATGCGTGATACTTGGTAGCTATGCAATAGAGATAAAGAGATAAAATGCAATATGAAAGAAAGACGTACATTTATATAACAAATATACATTCATACATGTACATGTTTTCAAAGGACATGTATGATCTGATAGTACATCAACAATGAAAATGCCTAAAAAAGGATTATCAAAAAATTGTAGAATGGCATACAAATTTGGAGAAAATAATTGCAAAATAAAGGGCAAGCTTAGAACAAGGTAAATTGTCTATGAACGCGTGATAATACTGATAAGATAAGATAAGATAAGATAAGATAAGATAAGTATACTGATCTCTAGAATGGAACCATAGACAATATAATCATGAGTATTGAATGATTATGATTACCTGCTGTACTGAGGCTGCACTGAGAATGTATATTTATGGTTGTGGGTATACAACCAATGGACCTTTGACATATTGTTCTCTTCAAAGACTTGGTAATGGAAGATGAATGTCTCATCAATCTTCAAACCTTTTCTTTGTTTTGTTTTTTCAGTATTTTGAAATGGATTCATGAACAATCAAAAATATTCTTAATAACTTTAAAAAGTTAAGAGTACATGTACCTGTAAAATGTCTCTTCAAAATATAATGTGCCTGACCCACAAATATAATTTTGATAAAAATAACATAATTTTTTCACATATCAAGATGCAATTCATTTTCAGTAAACACTAAACAAAATTGACATTTTATAAGATATCAGCACAATTGCACATCGATGTGCAGTTTCTCATTGATTAATTTCTACATTTATAAACTTCTTAAAAGTGCATCAGGCTAAAATCATTTTAATTTAATGCAACAGTTTTCTGTGGTAATTTGCAGCATCACTTGTGAGCAAGTCTCCAGGAGTTTGATTTAAGCCAAAGAAAGTTAGGGGATAAGTTTATCATGCCAATTTCTGATTTAAAAATAAAAAATCTTTGTGGATTTTTTAAAATATATTTTTTATAATAATTGTTATCATTATGATTTTTTATACTAACATGACTGACCAGATCTGCCCATAGGAAAGAAATGAGCCTGCCGCATACTCCTGCGGCAGACTTGCCGCAGATCTGCGGCAGACCTGCCGCAGACAGTCATCTTTTTCACATGCAAATTAGTTTTGCCGCAGACTTGCCGCAGACTTGCCGCATACTCTTTCAGTATGATGAAGAGTCTGCGGCAGGTCTGCCGCAGACTTGCTGCAGACTTGCCGCAGACTTGCCGCATACTCTTTCAGTGTGATGAAGAGTCTGCGGCAGACCTGCCGCAGACTTGCTGCAGACCTGCCGCATACTCTTTCAGTATGATGAAGAGTCTGCGGCAGACCTGCCGCAGACTTGCTGCAGACCTGCCGCATACTCTTTCAGTATGATGAAGAGTCTGCGGCAGGTCTGCCGCAGACTTGCCGCATACTCTTTCAGTATGATGAAGAGTCTGCGGCAGGTCTGCCGCAGACTTGCAGCATACTCTTTCAGTATGATGAAGAGTCTGCGGCAGACCTGCCGCAGACTTGCTGCAGACCTGCCGCATACTCTTTCAGTATGATGAAGAGTCTGCGGCAGGTCTGCGGCAAGTCTGCGGCAAAACTAATTTGCATGTGAAAAAGATGACTGTCTGCGGCAGGTCTGCCGCAGACTTGTCGCATACTCTTTCAGTATGATGAAGAGACCTGCTGCAGACCTGCCGCATACTCTTTCATATCCAGTACGTGGCAATAAAGTATGCATGTAGAAGAACCAGTGATAAACTGATTGATACTTCATAATCGATATTGGCAATATCGATATTACCAATTAGGTAATACCAATATATATCGATATTACCAATTAGGTATATTCTATTCTCAATTGTATTAACTTCATCACATTGATCATTTGAAGTGTATTCAAGAGTAAAATTTAAAGTGACACAGGCTCGTACACATATATATACTAAATATGTATATTGTTTTTTGGTTAGTAATCATAGTTTCTTGGTTAGTAATCAATATATCTATTGCTTAAACGTGAATGTAATTGTAACATGATCAGACAAAATAATCTATTGGTTAATAATGGCAAAAGGAAAATAGAAATCACAAAAATGATGTGCATTGTCTTAATTTGCTTAACAAATCATGATAAATGTATTTTTCTGTCACACGTGTAAAGTAATAATGAATATGCATGAGATGATTGGTTTCAATTGGCCCTATTAGACTTTAATGGGATTTCCTGTGGCAGACCTGCCGCAGACTGTTCCTGTGGCGTACTGGTATGCGGCAAGTCTGGAGCAAAGTTTCGCCCTGCCGCAGATCTGCCGCAGACTGTTCCTGTGGCATACTAGTATGCGGCAAGTCTGGAGCAAAGTTTCATCCTGCCGCAGATCTGCCGCAGACTGTTCCTGTGGCATACTAGTATGCGGCAAGTCTGGAGCAAAATTTCATCCTGCCGCAGATCTGCCGCAGACTGTTCCTGTGGCATACTAGTATGCGGCAAGTCTGGAGCAAAGTTTCATCCTGCCGCAGATCTGCCGCAGACTGTTCCTGTGGCATACTAGTATGCGGCAAGTCTGCAGCAAAATTTCATCCTGCCGCAGATCTGCCGCAGACTGTTCCTGTGGCATACCAGTATGCGGCAAGTCTGGAGCAAAGTTTCATCCTGCCGCAGATCTGCCGCAGACTGTTCCTGTGGCATACTAGTATGTGGCAAGTCTGCAGCAAAATTTCATCCTGCCGCAGATCTGCCGCAGACTGTTCCTGTGGCATACTAGTATGCGGCAAGTCTGGAGCAAAGTTTCATCCTGCCGCAGATCTGCCGCAGACTGTTCCTGTGGCATACTAGTATGCGGCAAGTCTGGAGCAAAGTTTCATCCTGCCGCAGATCTGCCGCAGACTGTTCCTGTGGCATACTAGTATGCGGCAAGTCTGCAGCAAAATTTCATCCTGCCGCAGATCTGCCGCAGACTGTTCCTGTGGCATACTGGTATGCGGCAAGTCTGCAGCAAAATTTCTTTCTGCCGCATACTTCGGCATACTCTTTGCCGCAGACTTTTAGTCTGCGGCAGGTCTGCGGCAGATCTGCGGCAGGTCTGCGGCAGGTCTGCGGCATACTTTTCACTTTCCTATGGGTGAAGCAAGCGAGGATTCATCAGAAGGTTTTCAACAATGCTTCATCTATTAAACGTCATTTCAAATTAAATGAGATATACCCTAGAGAGATAAAGAACCATTTAAGCCCAAAGAAATTTTACAAGACTTTTCTATCACGTCCACTTTCGATTTCTGTAATAAATCAACAATGGCTGACAAGATTTGAAGCAAGTGGGGATTCAGTAGGATTTCAACCATGCTTCACTTATTAAATATTATTTCCAAGTAAAGGAGATGTACCCTGGAGAAAAAAGAACCATTTAAGCCCAAAGAAAGATGAAAGGACTTTTCTATCACGTCCCCTTGCAATGTTTTTAAATCAACCACAAATGACAAGATCTAAGGCATACAGGGACTATAAATAGTAGAAGACTTGCAACAATACTTCATCAAATAAATGTCCTTTCCAGGTAAAATATATGTACCCTCGAGAGGTTAAGAACCATTTTAACCCAAAGAAACATTAAATGGCTTTTCTATCATGTCCATTTCCGATTTTGTTTTTCTTAAATTATCCATAAATGACAAGATCTGAAGCAAATGGGGATTTAGTAGAATGTTTGCAACAATGCTTCATCTAATAAATGTCCTTTCCAAGTAAAAGTGATGTAGCTTAGAGAGATAATGAATCTTTGAAGGTGATATGCTGCCCAGATTCTTGATACTTCTTTGAGAATTGTCAAGTTCTCCTTTTGAGTAATTACTTGTGAGCTTTCACATTCTTTGTATGCCCATGATGAAGAATATCAAAGAAGTAATGTCAACTAGAAAAAATTGCTCTAAAAACGCATACATCAAATAGGACTAAAATAGTGCTCCTATCTCCGTAACATGTACCTGTATCGATGTCCAATTCTATCTATTTTTTTTGGCTAATATCTACAAGATTTCGCCAATGTGTTAATATTTTGATGACACATTTTTTCAAATAAATCATATTTTCAACTGAAGTGGCACTTTTCTTTCACAATTATATGATTCATAATGACAGATTAGAATTCTTAAAGAGAAGGTTGAGTTCTGGGAAGAGGTGAAAAATAATTTGTGAGCATTACTCATTCTTATTATGCAAGTGTGGAAGAACATCAGTTAAGACATGTTCCCAGAAAAGCATGGCTCTTCAAATGCCTTCATATTCTAAATATGCATGTAACATCGTAAAGATCGGGGGGCCGGCTTTTTACGCCACTTGTTCGTGTAGTCCCATATACATCTTTCTGTGCAAGTGTTTGTAACTTTACCAAGACTTGGCTAAATTTCTTATCATTTTGATGATTCCAGAACCTTGCAATACACACAAATTCTTATATGCTAGATGATCAACCTTTTCTGGTCGGTTCCACACCGTTTCTTTCATAATGCAATCGCATGACCAGAACTCAACTTCATCTTTAATGCCAAGGTACAAAGATTGATGAAGAGGTAAATTTGGGGAAATATTCATAAGAGGTGAGGGTGAAGACTTTGTTTCCATGGAAAGCTGGTCTGAGTTCCAGGAGACAAAACACTTGTAGAAGCAATCTCGCATGATCTCTTTATCATCTCACCCAGCTCTAGAGATGAGTGATTAGCAAGATAGAAGGCCAGAGAACCAATGAATGCATCACCTGCTCCCTGTAAATTGAGATTACATAAATGTACCAATAGTATGTGTTTCAATGCATATTACTTAGAAGTGCTTAAAAGTGCTACAAAGGACATTTACTGCATTGGTAAACATTAAACATACCATCCAAAACAAGTTAGTATTAATGAAAAGAATTACTGTTCCTCATGTCTTGAATCTAATGAAACCTTCTTTACACAGAGATGAATTATCCATTGCACAAAGTAAGACAACAAAATGTCATTTGGAGTGGACTTTGCCTTTAAACAAACTCTTGGGGCCATATATTGGTGTGTACTGTCAATTATTTACATGCATAAAAAAGAAAGGTATTGCAACAGAATATAATCCCATTAAGATTAAGCCTTTTGGCATGATCTGAGCACAGCCATTTTCTTGATAATGTGACGCACCAGGTAAACTTTACAAAAATTTAACATATCAAGAGGGAAAATCATAACTGAGGAGGTAAAAATTCTAGAGGTGAGGTTTCCTTCAAAAAAATGTTTCACTTTTGATCGGGAGAATTTTACTTTGATTACATAACCTACACTTTTAGGTTTCAACAGTAGTGAATAGCTAAAATGTCTTCTATACTCACTGTGGTATCAACTGGTGTCACGGCATCAACCGGAACATGAAGGGGAGTTCTTGCTTCAGCAGTGGCATAGACAGCCCCCTCACCTCCCATTGTGATAATAGCAGTCTTGCATCCCTTATCAAGCAGAACTAAAGATGCTTTCTTAGCTTCTTCTACACAGGATACAGAGAGACCAGTCAGGAGTTCTGTCTATCATGACAAACAAGATAAGGTATACTAAGCTAGAGATATCGTCGCTGTTTTCACGAAGTGACGGTAGTGAAAAAAAATTGCATTCACTTTGCGTTACGATTTTCCTCACTACCGTCACTTCGTGAAAACAAGGACGATATATCTGGATGAAACCCATTGAAAATGCATGTTGAACAAGACAAATACAACTGAGTCTCCTATATGCCTCTGTCCTAAATTCAGTTAAGGAAAGTGATGGAACTATTCTTGCAATATCATGATGAAAACAAAAGCCTATAATAACATGTCATCTAATGACTATGATTTTTTACCTTTGACCTATGTACTCTAATACCAAATGAGATTGTCTTCTAATGGTGATATGGTGCGAAGATATAAAAAATTGAGGCATATTAAACCTAAATTAGATCTTTATTAAATTGTATAAATATTGTATAAAATTTTTATGTAAATTGTATGAACAAATCTTCATTCAGAGTAGCATAATTAAATACTAATGGCAGAGTGCTTTGGGACCAGTATTGCAACAGAATATTCATGTACAGTAGGCTTGCAGGTGCACCATGTGAGAGAGAGAGAGAATATTCATGTTTATTTACTGATCTATATATTTTTTTTCTCCATGCGTTTTGTTTTGCTTGTCATTTTTGTTTTTTTATGGGGAATAAATCTTGAAATATCCATTTGGAAATTGACAGCCTTTTTGTATTGTATTTACCTTTAGATCCCTACTCCCTCACATGTATTTGATAATACTAGAAAAATTCAAATTTTAAATACAGTTATTTTGTCCCTGAAATACAAATGGCTATCCTCAATTTGTTCAAGGCTTAAACAGGAGGCTTAAAATATTTAGGACAAACCAATTTTCTAAGTCTGTTAATATTTCATTAGCATGCATAAAGCATATTTGCTTATATACATTTAAAATTGGGTACCCTCACTTACATCCACGATATAAACACAATTATAGATAACAATCACGAGGAGACAAAATAAGCACCAATCTACGTCAAAATGATGAAAACAAAATAATTCTTGTATAGAATTAAGGAGAATTGTCTTCTTTTAACTAATTTTTTCTTGCTGCTTGGAGTTATAAGTCTTCTAGCTGCCTTGTACACAAGTGAATCATACTGTGTCAGAACCTCAAAACTTTTTAACTGTATCTTGAATTGCAACACAAAGACTATGTAAGTTTATTGGAATATAATTTCTTATACTTTCAAATATATGCAGTTTTTTCCCCAGCCTCAAAACATGATCAACATTATCACCTTCTTTAATTATTCATTTTCAATTTCAAAAACATAAAAAATTACAACATTTGCAAGTTGCAACATGAAAGGTAACTCCCTACAACACAGGATTACTAAACAAAGGTAACTTCCTACAACACAGGATTACTAAACAAAGGTAACTCCCTACAACACAGGATTACTAAACAAATGTAACTCCCTACAACACAGGATTACTAAACAAAGGTAACTCCCTACAACACAGGATTACTAAACAAGCAAAAAATAATGTCTCTTTATTAGCTAATGGAAAATTACATATGGTAGAAGCATAATGCTATTGTACAAAAGAGCAATAATTTCATGTCGTTTAAATTAAAAAAACATATCAGGACAGCAATCAAACGAAGGGAGGCTTCTTGAAATGCAGCATGAAAAATATATTAAACTCCATAAAAGGTTTGCAAACTTTGCATCCCCACCTCCCCTCTCCTCTTGATAGAGCGGTCAGTGACATGGCAACAACTGAAGCTTTGATCGATCCTTTCTCTCAGTGCAATGACTTCTCAGATATAAAATACTTAAGGGTAGATTTCAGTCGAGTCTCTTTAATAGTAATGTAATCTACCTTGTACATGTAGAGCTGAAATTCCCAATTTTAATTGCATTTCTCAACTAAACTAGATGGAATTTTGACTGCGCGCAGTCGAAAATGATGCCTCCGCCATAGAGCAATTTAAACAAGTTTGGAGTTTAAATCTCCAGTGGTTCTTGAGATATCATGATAACAATCTCAATGTATGGAATTTCATAAGTTGACCTCTGTGACCCTTGAACTTTGACCTACGTGCTCCAAAATCTAATCAGATTGTCTTCCTATGGTGATACACACTATCATTAAGTTTGAAGTTTAAACCTCCAGTGGTTCTTGAGATATTATGATATGGTGATACATACTATCATTAAGTTTGAAGTGAAAATTCTCCAGTGGTTCTTGAGATATCGCGATAACGATCTCAATGTATGGAATTTCATAAGTTGACCTCTGTGACCCTTGACCTTTGACCTACGTGCTCCAAAATCTAATCAGATTGTCTTCCTATGGTGATACACACTATCATTAAGTTTGAAGTTTAAATCTCCAGTGGTTCTTGAGATATTATGATAATAATCTCAATGTATGGAATTTCATAAGTTGACCTCTGTGACCCTTGACCTTTGACCTACGTGCTCCAAAATCTAATCAGATCGTCTTCCTATGGTGATACATACTATCCTTAAGTTTGAAGTTTTTACATCTCCAGTGGTTCTTGAGATATCATGATAACAATCTCAATGTATGGAATTTCATAAGTTGACCTCTATGACCCTTGACCTTTGACCTACGTGCTCCAAAATGTAATCAGATTGTTTTCCTATAGTGATACACACTATCACTAAGTTTGAAGTTTAAATCTCCAGTGGTTCTTGAGATATCATGATAACAATCTCAATGTATGGAATTTCATAAGTTGACCTCTGTGACCCTTGACCTTTGATATACGTGCTCCAAAATCTAATCAGATCGTCTTCCTATGGTGATACATACTATCCTTAAGTTTGAAGTTTAAATCTCAAATGGTTCTTGAGATATCGCGCTAACAAACTCAATACAAGGAATTTCATAAGTTGACCTCTGTGACCTGTGACCTTTGACCTACGTACTCCAAAATCTAATCAGATCGTCTTCCTATGGTGATAAATACTATTCCCGAGTCTTAAGTTTAAATCTTAAATGGTTCTTGAGATATTGTGATAACGGTCAAACGGGACGGACGTACGGACGGATCCCCCTATACAAATTTAAGTTCGTCGCGAACTCGTATTATGCTCGTGGTAAGCTTAATAAGATCGTTTTTTAGGCTTTAAGCTCGTAACACGCTCCCAGGACGCTTGTAACGATCTTACAAAATCTTGGCGAGCTCGTGCACGAGTTCGCCACGAGCTCGTGGCGAACTCGCGGGTAAACTGGGGAGCTCGTGGCGAGCTCGTGGATAAAAGAGGGAGCTCGTGGCGAGCTCGTTGGTAAAAGGGGGAGCTCGTGGCGAGCTCGTGGGTAAAAGGGGGAGCTCGTGGCGAGCTCGGGCGTAAACTGGGGAGCTCGTGGGCGAGCTCGGGGGTAAACTGGGGAGCTCGTGGCGAGCTCGTGGGTAAAAGGGGGAGTTCGTGGTGAGCTCGGGTTAAACTGGGGAGCTCGTGGTGAGTTCGGGGGTAAACTCGGGAGCTCGTGGGTAAAAGGGGGAGCTCGTGGCGAGCTCGTGGGTAAAAGGGGGAGTTCGTGGCGAGCTCGGGGTTAAACTGAGGAGCTCGTGGCGAGCTCCCCAGAGCTCCCCAGAGCTCGCCACGATCTCGCTGGTAAACAGGTGATCCAGCTCCCAGGAAAACAGTTAGGTATACAGTGTGAGTCCCAAAAAAATTTACACCTAGAAAATTGCTAATTATTTTAAAAATTATCTGTGAACAGTAAATTATTATACATTCTATGAAAGAGTGTTTTATCTTGAATCATTTAGTATCATTTTTGTGTGGTATGTTTGGATGAACAGGAGGCATTGCATGCGAGAGTGCAAAAATCGACTTGCGCCAAAGTTGCTAATGTGATGTTTGAATAAAACAATTGCGATATGGGTATTATTTCAGTCATTACAGATCAACACAACATCCCAAACAAAATTAATCATGCCACACATATCAAAAATTGAATATAAAATATCAACGAACATTATTAGTGTGTTTGCTTGTGACTCTGCTTCTGCAAAAAACATATGCAATGCATTTCATTTGATACATTCAATTCATTCTCTCACTCCGCTGATCCCAACATAATACATACTGTAGGCATCACTTTGGCGCAAGTCAATTTTTGCACTTTCACAAACAATGCCTCCTGTTCATCCAAGCGTGAACACATACCACACAAAAGTGATACCAAACGATTTGGAATAAAACACTCTTTCATAAGATGTATAATAATTTACTGTTCATAGATGATTTTTAGAATAATTAGCATTTTTCTAGTTGTAAACTTTTTTTTGACTCACACGGTATACATGTATATATTTTAAAGTTCCCTTCAGGATGCCAATTTCTTTTATTTATTCTATTAATATATGTACATGTATTTTTAAAATGTCTTGGGCCAAGGAAAATGAGTTCCTACTTCCTAGTTTCTTGTCTCCACCAGCATCCTTTTTATGTAATTTTTTTTAAAATAAAAAATATTGATCTGAAGATATCTCTCACCTGAAATAATTAAGGTAAACAAATGCATACTTTATTATTTTGATACATTTTTGAGCCTCTTTGTCAGAACATATGCAATTACATTGAAAGTTCAGAAAATTTGTGTTGAAATTGAAACAATAGCTTTTTCATGCTGAAGTAACCTGTCAAATTACTTGTAAATTTAATTAAATTCTTTTGAAACTTTGAAACATTTATTTGCAGCATACCAGATTGGGAAGGGGGGGGGGGGGTTGCCATTTATTCTGACTGTATCATATATTTAACACCTTGAAATGTCACTATCAGGTATTACATAAGAGCACACACCCAGACCTTGATTCGAGGTCAACTCCCTGTTTCTAACTTGCTCTCTCCTTATGTACATAGGATTCCCCCTCCTTACACACAAATCCCTATTCCTATCTCTTCTCCCCTCTCTCACTTTCTTGTGTACACTCTCTTGTGGAATTACCACTGGTAGCATTCCTGATAAGAATGAATTGACTTGTTAGGCAGATTTGGTCAGCCATTTTCTATCTTGTTTTTGTGGAGAGCAGACATGGATTTTGAATGGTACTGCATGCTGAAGCTCCTTTGTTTTAGGTAAGAGAAAAACTTATTTCTCACACCTTATAACTAAATGTTCTACTTGTGTTCTACTTGTGTAAGACTAGGCCAACAGTTAGGCCTACCTCTCTTATACATTTATGAAAGAGAAGTGTAGAGTAATGATTAATGAGATAAAGTATTTATTCTCTTTCTAAATCTAGTGAGATATCTTTTCATATATTGGGAAGTTTGTTTCTCCATCTATCTAGCACATACATGTAGTATATTCACTTCATTAAAGTAACATTAGATATAATCTAATTCTCTTCTCCCCACTCTCACTTTCTTGTTTACTCTCTCTTGTGGAATTACCACTGGTAGCATTCCTGATAAGAATGAATTGATGTGTTAGTTATAGGCCACTTTGGGCAAGTCTTTCTCCATCTTGCTTTTGTAGAGAGCAGACATGGGTTTTGAATGGTATTGCAGCTCCTTTGTTTTAGGTAAGAGAAAAACTAATTCCTCACACCTTATAACTAAATGTTCTACTTGTGTATTTATAGGCCAACAGTTAGGCCTACCTCTCTTATACATTTATGAAAGAGAAGTGTAGAGTAATGATTAATGAGATAAAGTATTTATTCTCTTTCTAGTGAGATATCTTTTCATATATTGGTAAGTTTTTTTCTCTATCTATATAGCACATAGTATATTCACTTCATTAAAGTAACATTATATATAATCTATGTGATAAGGTTATATTCATGTAAATATTCCTGTATCTTGACTGACAAACCCTATCATTTAGGCAACATGAGAGCACATTAATGCATTTTGTCTGAATACTGAAAACTAGTTTGCTAGCGGATATAAAGAAGGGATTGTTCTAGAGATCCTATAGTATATGTACATGTATCATTACTTGGTACCCTGGGTTGGTGAATACACTGACAAGAAGGGGGATGCTACATAGTTATTGTATGAATACTGCTTTATTAGTTTGGATCTTTGTAATATTATGAGTGATTAGAATGATGGAATAATTACCAAAATGGATAATAATATTTCTTCAAAGGCAGAGTATTATACAGTGTAATTACTCACATATTTAATTTCATTATACAGTGTAATTATATAATTTGGAAATCATTTATTCATTCATATCGTTGTGTGAAGTTGTGAACCCTGCATACAGGTAACATGTATTTTACAGGGTTTGTATTGACTCTAATAAAAAGATACTTTTTTTAAGTTATATTTTATGTTATATCTTTTCTTTCTGTACTTTGATATATTAGTGTTTTCATTGATTGATATCTCAGAAGTAATGAGCTTTTAACTTTCCCTTATTCTAAAGAGGATCACTGTATTCTTCACCAGCTTGCCAACTGAATTGTCCCTGCACAGCCAGCCTGCAGATGTTAACAGGATATTGGAAGGTTGATAAGTTAGATAAATATATATGCATGCCAATAGCTCAACAGGATCATCAAGTTCACCTCTATATGTAGACACAAATTAGTTCTCAATAGGGACTTTTAGATTTGCACGAAGACAATGTGGATTGCTACGGTCGACGTCCTTTTTATGCACTGCCTTCAATGGACGTCACAGGTTTCAGTCCACGCAAATCTAAAAGTCCCTAATGCCAACATGCTGTTGAGCACGCCATTAAGCTAGCAGCCATTTTTTTTCACAAGATTGTCGACGAACTCGTACGAACTCGTTGACGAACTCGTTGACGAACTCGTACGAACTCGTTGACGAGCTTGTCGACGAACTCGTACGAACTCGTACGAACTCGCCAACGAGCACGCCAACGAGCTTATCGGCCAGTGACGAGCTGCATATTTGGAGCACGCCAACGAGCTCGCGTGCATGCTCGTAGCTAATTTGCATATTTGGAACGAAACGAGTTCGTCTGCGAGTTCGTCTGCGAGTTCGTCGACGAACTCGTGGGCGAGCACGCTGACGAGCTCGCGTGTTAGCGCACTGAAATTTGTATAGGGGGACAACCCGAAAACATGATGCCTCCGGCACCACCTTCGGTGGCGGAGGCATAAAAAATACTCAAAGCTAATAAACTGTTTTTCATACATGTATGTTTTTGAAGTATTTTTGCAATAAAGGTGTAATTTGGGGCTTAAAAGACAGAAAAAAATGATCACCAGTTTCTCTCATCATAGATATTTTAGATCATGAATGAGAGTATGAGATGCTCAAAAATATTCTTATTAGTTTTCTAAAGATGGAGTGAATACTCAGATATACATACCTCAGTCTCATTTGGGCAAAAAAAGTCACTATACTGGTAGAATTCATCAGGTAAACCAGGTACTCCAGGGGCAGGATTGAGTATAGTTGTGACTGTTGACAGCAATAAAAGAAATAAAAACTTTAAAAATTAAATTTACAGACTGATTACAACAAAAGAAAGAAATATTATGACAGGTATATTTTCAAGAAATGTAATTAAAGTGTAGTGTTAACATAACTGAATCAAACAATAATATAATACTAAATTATCCTTAAACTAGATGGCCCTATGACTGCACACAGTCGAAAATGATGCCTCCATCATAGAGCAATTCTGTCTTACCAAAACAGTAGCAATTTTTAAAATCCAAGTTTGATTGTAATAAATTAACAGGTTCTCAGAATATCGTGATTATGCACTTGTCATTTGTAAGACGCACCTCTTGACCCCCGGGAATGGTGCGTCATTGTACCGATGTGAGTCGTACATTTTGATACCATGACGCACCTTCCGTCACAGAAAGTGACACACCATTACATTCCATCGACGCACATTTGAGTCAAACATATGACACACCATTTCATGAAAATGACTAGCCAATGACGCACATTTGAGAAACACTTCTGCTTGGAGAAAGTGACGGTCCCATTGACACACCAAATGACGCAACGTGGTAAAGTGACTTACTATGACGCACATATGGGTCAGTATTGTGACGGACATTTTGCGGCCATGACGGTACTGTGCGTCGCGATTTTGGGGAACATGACGCAACCATGACGCACCATTCCCGGGGGTCAAGAGGTGCGTTTTACAAATGACAAGTGCATTAGTACAAGCTAATTTTCATATACATATATGACCCTTTGATCTTTGTCCTCATGACCCCCACATCTAATCAGTTCATTGCACTGGCGTACCTATGGGGGGGCAGGGGGGCAGAGTGCCCCCCTGACGGGCTCCAGGGGAAAAAAAGAAAAAGGGGAAAGAAAAGAAAAGAAAGGAAAGGAAAGAAAAAAAAAGGAAAAGGGAAGAAAAAAGGAAAGAAAGAGAAAAAAGGAAAAAAGGGAAAGAAAAAAGGAAAAAAGGGAAAGAAAAAAGGAAAGAAAGAGAAAAAAGGAAAAAAAGGAAAGAAAAAAGGAAGAAGAAGAGAAAAGGAAGAAAAAGGGAAAAGAAAAGGAAAGGAATAAAAATGGGGAAATTAAAAAAAAAAGACCATGGCCGTACGCACCAAGGGGGGGGGGGGGCAGTTGACCCCAGATATTTTGAAAACGTACAGTTTTTTTTCCTGAAAATGTAGTGTACGCCTTTAATTACCAAATCCTTCAATTCTACTTTTGAAAATGCAAAAGTACCCTCATGACCAGTTCGGTCGCTCGAACTCCCTTCACTCCTTTTACTTTTGAGATTCTTCGAAAACTTTTAACGCATCTTTCCCCCTCCCCCACCAGAAAAATATTCCGCATACGGCCCTGAAAAATTAAAACAAATGAAAATGGGAAAATATAAGTGATATAACAAATTCGAAACTCTTCGCTGGCGCGAACTGCTTGCTAGCCTATTTTGTATTAAATGTTTTCACTTGCTCGTCCCCCTGAAAAAAGAAAAGGATTAGTATTGCCTAGAATACAATTGTGCCTGCCCCGACGGGCCCCAACCTGCAACCATGGCAACAATAACACACAATATATGTACCAAATGTTACTAAAAGAGACTAATTCATTTTTCTCGCTCGCGAATAAAATGAATAGATATTGCTTTGGAAACAATTGTGCCCACCCTTGACCTGCAACAATATCATTAAAAATGGGAGAGTTTTTTCGCCCTCTCGCCAAAAAGGAATTGAATCGCGTTAAACGCGATTGCGTCCATCCTGACCTGCACCAATGAAAACAAGTTTATTTATTAATTTTTATTAAAAGAGAATTTATTTTTTTTTGCTTGCTCGATATGCTCGCTCGCCAAAATGGAATTGACACCGCTAACGTTCCCGCCCCAACCTGCAACAACCAGTTAATAATTATGTACCAAACGTTATTCAAAGAAGTTTTGGTGTGCTCGTGCTCGCCAAAACGGAATTAACATCACCTTAGACATGATTGTGTAAGCCCTGCCCTGCAACAAAAAAATCCAAAAAAATCAATTATCATTACAAAAATTTTGCTCGCTCGCTACGCTCGCTCGCCAAAATAGAAATAACACCGCTTTTAATAATCACGTCCCTGACATGGAACAATGAACCCAAGTTTATATACCACATTTTCCCTATAAAAGAGATGTGATTTTTTTTGCTCGCTCGCTACGCTCGCTCGCCAAAATAGAAATAACACCGCTTTTAATAATCACGTCCCTGACATGGAACAATGAACCCAACTTTATATACCATATTTTCCCTATAAAAGAGAAGTGTTTTTTTTTGCTCGCTCGCTACGCTCGCTTGCCAAAATAGAAATAACACCGCTTTTAATAATCACGTCCCTGACATGGAACAATGAACCCAAGTTTTATGTACCATATTTTCCCTATAAAAGAGAAGTGATTTTTTTTTTCGCTCGCTACGCTCGCCAGCTCGTGGAATTATGTGCCCACCACTAACCTGCTACAATATCATTAAAAAGAGAAATGTAGGGGGTTGCCTGCCCGCCAAAATGGGATTGACATTGCCTTAACTCTTAAGCTGCCCCTATGCAATTCACCCAGTGCCACAGTGCTAATCCCTATTGTGCCCGCTACTAATCTCCTGTGTGCTAAGTTAATTTAGGGTTGGTTCAAGTGTGTGTAGTTTAAATTGTTACTATGTTTGATCCACTATAACATCTCATCTGTATATTGTATAAAAAAGAATTGTACGTTAAAGTTGTAGGAAATTTAACTCTCTTTCTGTTGATACCAATATCATTTCATGAATCTGTAATTTTGGTAAAGTAAATAAGCACTATCAGTGAGTTGTCAAACCAATCCGTTGTCTCATTTCCCGCACACAATCTGAGGGGCCATGATCAAAACTGACTAATTTGATGATAAAATATCGCAATTTTCTCAGGAAAATCCAATGTAACGGTATACGTGAAGCACGCAAAATCAAAACAACAATAAACCCCCTCCACAAATACAGTAAGCATTCATGCGTGCACGCAATGCGCATCGCACAATAGGCATAAACAATTAGCTTGTGTACTTATGCACGAAAATGTGTCCGTGGCACGCGAGCGGATGAGAGTTTATGTGTCCATGGCAAGTCAACAGAAACCCGATTATGTGTGCGTGGCACGCCAGCGCATGCACAGAACAGTGTTCTTGGCACGATAAGAGTTAAACACGATTGTGCCCGCCCCCTACCTGCAACAATGAAACAAATTTGATATAGCAATTCATCGAGAGAAAGATGTATTTTCGCTCGCTAGCTAAAATGGGTATAAAATCACCCTAAACACAATATTGTTCCCGCGCCCTGCATGGGACAATTGAACCAAGTTTAAGTGGCAATTCTTAAAAAAGAAGTGATTTTTTTCTTGCTCGCTACACTCGTTTGCAAAAAAAATAAATTAACGTCGCTAACAAGTAAATGTTCCCACCCCCAACTTGCAACAATACCAGTTTATATACCAAACGTTACTTAAAGATTTTGTTTTGCTCGCTCGCTCGCCAGAAGTGAAAATTAGCATCGCCTTTTTTGTTTGTTTCGGTCGCTTGCCCCCCCCCTGACGGAGTATCCCAGGTACGCCACTGGTTCATTGGCTCAGTAAGATACATGCATGCCCTGAGTTTAATGGTAATCTGTCCATCAGTTCTAATGATAATGTGATCACAAGCTATTTTTGCATAGCGGTCCATTATGAGCCCTGTGACTTCAGTACCATTTCACCGTTAATTTCAATTTGGTATCAATTTTTATATCTAATTAACTTTCAATACTAACGGAACTAACCATGGATGATAATATTTCCAATATAGAATATGTGCATGGGACCAAATGTATAACATTAATGGCATATAGTCAGCTCCTGATGAAATTTTGTGCTACTTTTATTAAAAGACACATCACTCCTAAATCATACACCACAAAATGTTGACATCTTAACATCAAAATCTCATTCTACAAGAACCACAGAAGCCAATTTTGAATTAGGGTGAAACATTATTGATGTGAGTATTGAGATAAAAAGAACCACTTAAAATTTCATGACCTTTTTAGAAACAAATGTGGGTATATAGTTGCCACTCCTCATCTTCATATATACAGTACATAAATAAAAATAGAATTGAATTTCATCTGCCCTAGCGGGTGGTGTATCAGACTTATAATATCAATCTTATTTCCAGTTTAAAGCTGATATTCTAAGCAAATAAATGTCCCTTAATTTGGTATCTACGGCAAGCATATGTTATTTATAAGTTTTTCAATTACATAGTATATCACAAAAAATTCTGGCTACTCGAAATCCTTAATTGAAATGTTGAAAATATCCACCAATTCACTAATTCACCATTCTAAACTTGTTTTTGTCAGTTGGACACCATTTAATGTTATTCTGGGGGTTAAAAGCTTTCTATTGATGTAATTATCTCAATATTTGGGATTGTCTTAGAATAACAACTTTAAGATAAAATCCTTTAGATTAAGAAGGTAATGAACTAAAACTTTCATAAGCTTCCACAACGACCTTCTCAAATTGTATATTGCTGTAAATTTCAAGGTATATAGTTGAATTCATATTTATAGGTTACTGGTAATAAGAAAGATTGTATTTGGGATTGGTTTCAATCTGGCTGACATTATATGCAGACAATTTCAAACTTGATGGATTCATAACAACATAAATCCATTTTTAGATTACATATACATAATTTCTGAAGAAACATAATCACAATGTCTCAAAGAATACTTTGAAGAGGAAAAGATTCAACCTATTTACTATCAATTATCATGTGAATATATTGTATTTATCAGAGATGTTTTGATTGAAAAAATCTATAACCACAATTATTTGACTGAATTGATATGGATTTTAATCACATTAAAAAAGAAATGTGAACCAATTGACCAATAATGGGATACAACAAATAAACAATTGTCATGAAATTAAAGCATTTTTTTAATTATCAAAAGGTTTACATTTATTGAACCTTCCAGAATATAGCAATAAGAAGTACTTCATTAAGAATATTTAGTTCAACTACAAGAGTGAGAGAGAGGGTGGGTGTGGTAGAGAGAGAGATAGGGAGATAGAAAATGAGAAACAAGAGAAAAAGAAGCAGAGTCTGCAGAAAAAGGAAGGAGAGACAAGAGCATGGGGGGGGGGGGTGATATATGAAAATTACATGATATTTTTTCTGTTTAGTGCAATAAAAACATCAAACTGGAATCACAGGATTAAGCTTCACACTTTTTTATCTTCATTTTCATCTTCTCCCTTCAGGACATTCACAACAGGAGTGAAATAAGGTTACTTTGATCATAGAATACACAAATACGCCAATTTACTAACCAAAAATTGATCAATTGAAAAGCAGTATGAATATATGTTATATCACATCAACATTCTTTGTCATTAAACTCCATTTAAAAAAAACCCACTGAAATATTAAATATCTTCAATCAGTCGGTACAAGTCCAAGTTACCAAACCAAAGGGGAAAACAAATTGCTTACTTCCAAGGGCTCTGGCTTCCTTCAAGGCAGCTAAAACGGTTTCTTGGAGGATCTCTAACTGACATACCAACACCTTTGGGGACTCCATCTGACTTAGGGCTTGCTGTACATCAACTGGGGTGATCTGAAAGTTAGCCCCACTCACGATCACTATCGAGTTCTGACCTGAAGAAAATCATTGGTAAGGAATCCGTTTATACTTAATTTAAACAAGGGAAACCCTCTCGGCGGTCTCGCCTGCATAACGCAATTCAATATGATAAACCAGAATGTCAATGACGTAGCGTTCATCCGCACCTCGCAACAACAAATATCGTAAATTTTATGTGGTACACTTTTGAACTGGTCAAAAAATAAAAATTTGATGCCCTGGAAGAGACATAATTTCATTTCATTTGCATAAAGTACCATAAATAATCAATGGAGCAAAATCTCACAATTCTGTGTAGAAGTTTAGTGTTCCAAATTTAGCTCTACCAGATAAGGCAAACCAAATCAAAATCGGTCAAGAAATGAGGGAAAAGAAACAATTTTTGTTATTTTTGGAATAAATTTGCATTAATTACCATAATTAATTAATGGAGAACGATTTCAAAATTCTGTGTAGAAATAGTGTTCCAAATTTAGCTCTACCAGATAAAGCAAACCAAATGAAAATCGGCCGAGAAATGAAGGAGAAGAAGCCTTTTTTGTGATTTCAAATAAATTTGCATAAATTAGAAATTAGAAAATGAATTTCACAATTCTGTGTAGAAATTTTAAATCCCCAACCTAGCCCTATCATATGAAACAATCAGAATCAAAATCGGTTGAAAAATAACGAAGAAGCATTTTGAAAATCTTGATGTTGATGCCACAACAAAGTCTAAGTTTGTTGACCTTAAATGACCTTCGACCTTAACTTAGTGACCTGAAATTCTACTCACATGATTGGGGAGACTTGATAACCCTATAGTCCAAGTTTCATTGACTAAGAACTTATACTTTCAAAATTATATCAAAAATTCAAAAACTTAACCTTAAGTTTTTCGATGATGATGCTACAACATAGTCCAAGTTTGTTGACCTTAAATGACCTGTGACCTTAACTTAGTGACCTGAAATTCTACTCACATGATTGGGGATACTTGATTACCCTATAGTCAAAGTTTCAATGACTAAGAACTTATACTTTAAAAATTATATCAAAAATTCAAAAACTTAACCTTAGGTTAAGTTTTTGATGTTGACGCCGTCGCCATCACCGGATATGATGATATGATGATGAGCTACAGAACATTTCTCAATGGTTGTATATTAATAAATTAATCTTAATAGTAAAGAAAACTAGTTATATGATTTTCACAAACAAAAACATTAGAACTGATGATATCGAAATAAAAATTAATGGAATGTTATACAGTGCGTCCTAGAAAAAACGAAACTGAGAACTGTCAATGTTTTATCATAACTTAGTCACATTTATAATCAATAAATGACACATATTTGGAAAGACTAGATCCTCCTCTTTCATTTGATGCAACTCATATGATGCATATTTCATGCATGAGTGATAAAAATGAATTTGAAGAGAGAAAACCAAAAAGTAATTTGGCAGACGATATCTGAATTTCAAAGAGAAAATCACATTTCTAGAAAGCTGAGTTTTTGCCCTTTCATATGATATCTCAGTCAGGAATAATGAGCTAGAAATAACAAAGTTCTGTTTGTTTAAAGTAGTGCTTGCATTTCCATAATTTTAGTAAACAAATTCGTTTTCACTGGCTACCTGCCATGGCAGCAAACGGAATTAACAAAAGACTTAATTCCGTTTCGTTGACAATCAGCCGTAGATGAAAGACTTCATGCATGGCTGATTGTCAACAAAACGGAGTTAAGTCTGTTGTCGATTCTGCTTGTTACTACAGCAGGCAGCCAGTGAAAACGCATTCGTTTGACAAAATTATGGAAATGCAAGCACTACTTTAAACAAACAGAACTTTGTTATTCCTAGGTCTTTTTTTCTGACTGAGGTATCATATGAAAGGGCAGAAACTCAGCTTTCTAGAAATATGATTTTCTCTTTGAAATTCAGATACCGTACGCCAAATTTCCTTTAGGTTTCCTCTCTCCAAATTCATTTTAATCAACCATACGTGAAATATGCATCATATGAGTTGCATTGAATGAAAGAAGAGGATCTAAGCTTTACAAATATGTGTCATTTATTAATTATAAATGCGACTAAGTTATGATAAAACATCGACAATTCTCAGTTTCGTTTTTTCTGGGACGCACTGTACAGTCTTGTAATCTATTAAAACTTTTAGGTATTTAAATTGATTGTAAAATGTCATGGCACGTTCATATTGAAGCAATTTGTAATAAGCTCACGAAAGTAGTTGGTATTTTACATAAATCAAAACATTTCCCGTATAAGATTTTATTAATGATATGCAATGCATTGTTTTATCACAATTAAATTTGTTTACTATATGGATAGACTATATAAATTAAAAAGGAAGGCAAAACAAACTATCTTTGGATCCCATTATCTTGCCCATACAGAACCTATTTTTGTTTGTTTTAAATGTATTTGAATTCAAGGATTATACTATTGTTATATATGTTCTGATGTCATTAAGGTATTATCCTCCCTAGCCTTTCTAACAAATTTCATTTGAATTTTGAAATACATTCATATGGAACTAGGCAATCATCACATTTTCATCTACCACTTACCGGTATTAAAACTTCTGTCTCTAAAAAGAACAATTTTATGGTAAGAATTACCTCCTCATGTAAAATCAAGCCACTTACCACTGTCATCAACTAGTATAGGAGCAACACCTGTAGAAGACTCTTTGGTAGTGTTCAGAAAATCTAGGAAGGTAAGAGTTGAAAATTTTTCATGAAATACAAAATATGTCACAGTACTCTCTAATTCCGTATAAAATTCACCCAAATTATAGAGGATGTTCTATACTAAGTATGATATGGATTAGAAGGTTTGGAAGTAAAGTACATGTTTTTATGATTTGGTAATAGTGCATAGATTTTGATTAAGAGTGTTTAAACCTAACAGAATGTTCAAAATTGAAAAATGCAGGAACAGAACTTGAAGAGCAGAAAGTGCTACACATTTAGAGTCAAAATCAGATAGATTTTTAAAATAATCATCATCTCAGTCAGTTAGATCTCACAAAGAAAGTACTTCTTCCTACTCAACAACTTATTTGGTTTGGTTTGGTTTGGTTTGGTTTGGTTTGATGGTTTGTTTTACCTGACTGGTAAGTAAGCATGTGTATGCTTGTAAGTAAGCAACAAAGGGGACTGACGGCTTTAAGTCCTCTCTGAGGAATTTGGTAGTGAGGATTAATGCCTTATACCAAAGGGCATCGACTTGGTTTCGAACCCAGGACCTCCCGGTTACAAGACCACTGCTCTACCACTGACACTATGAAGTAGTGAATGAAGCCTCTATATGCATGTCACTGTCCATGCAGTTATCATTGATAGCACCATTTTACTATCATTTTGTTAAATAAATCAACATTTAATTCTATTCCCAAGATTCTAAATGTTAGTAATGACACAATGCCCTTTTTACATGTAAATGAATCGTAACTGTGCACAAAAAAGTTCCTAGAGGTATTCACTAAAGCTCTTGTTATAACATACAGAAATGTAAAGCATGTACAGTGTGAGTCAAAAAAAAGTTTACACCTCGAAAATTGCTTATTATTTTTAAAACCTTCTATGAACAGTTAATTATTATACATCTTATGAAAGATTATTTTATCCCGAATCATTTAGAATCATTTTGTGTGGTATGTGTTCACTCTTGGATGAACAGGAGGCATTGTTTGCGAGAATGCAAAATCGACTTGCGCCAAAGTTGCTTATGTGATGTTTGAATGAAACAATTGGGATTTGGGTATTAATTCGGCCTCCAAATAACATCCCTAACAAAATTAATCAAGCCACACATATTAAATATTGAGTATCAAATATCAACAAACATTTGTGCGTGTGTGTGTGTGTGTGTGTGTCTTTGCTTCTGCAAAAAGCATATGCAATGCATTTCATTTGATACATTCAATTCATTCTCTCTCTCTCCTCTAATCCCAACATAATACATACTGCAGGTATCACTTTGGCGCAAGTCGATTTCTGCACTCTCGCAAACAATGCCTCCTGTTCATCCAAGCCTGAACACATACCACACAAAAATGATACCAAATGATTTGGGATAAAACACTATTTCATAAGATGTATACTAATTTACTGTTCATAGATGATTTTTAAAATAATAAGCAATTTTCTAGGTGTAATTTTTTTTTTGACTCACACGGTATATTGCACTTTACGTCATCCACACACAAAAATGTTTTGATTTTCCATGGTTTATCTACTACTTTAATGTTTTTATTTAAACATTTATTCATTGTTATATATTTGTTCTCATTTGCTATGTTATCTTTATATATATATATATATATATGTACATATGTTTTTGAATGCTTTTTATATGATTGTATGTTTGATGTAAACTTGCATTTTTAGTCTTTTTACTTTTTGACAAGTCATGAATAAAACCCTATTTGAACTTGAACTTGAACTTGAATAAGACTCTAAAGTTATATCATTATTTAGGGTCAATTAAATGAATGAATTCCTCATTACATTATTCATCTAAGTCATTTAGATCTGAAAAGGAAAGTAACTCCTTCTACTCAGTGCCTTCTGAAGCATTTCATTAATTGACATGAGCATAAAACTACATCCTGTACGTATCACTTGCACATCTGCTGAAATCTTTGTCAATCTAAAAAGCAATTAAATTTTCTAATGAGATTGTCAGCAAGACTTATCTTACATAATGCAGACAATAGTGTTACAGTCATTATTATATCTGCTAAACTAAAGTCTACATACATAAATCTATTTTTTTTTTTTAAAGAGCAAAAAATTGGATCAGCCAGATTACTTTATGTCGGTTATAGTTTGAAGAGAAAATATATAAAACGGGAAATCCCCCAATTTGTATATCGCCCACCTTTGACCAAGTTATGTGTTCCCAAAGAGCATCCCTGACCCAAGTTTGGTTGCACTTCATTTGTGACAAGAAATACATATGACCTCAAATGGCCTTTGTCCTTAGAATGTGACCCCCAACAGCATCATAAATGGAGGTCTCCCAAAAGTGCATCTGTGACCCATGTTTAGTCACAGTACCATAAACAGTTGCAAACTTATTTGTCACAAGAGAGTCTTACATATAATCTCCAATATATAACCTCAAATAAACTTTGACCTTAGCATGTGATCCACGACGGCACCCTAGTGTGAAGGTCCCCGAAGTGGATCTCTGACGGTCTGACCCAAGTTTGGTGACAAAAGGATTACCAGTTGTGAAGTTAATTGTCCTATGAGCTTGATATGACATAAATAACCTTTGACCTTAGCATGTGTGCTTTTAGAGCACTATAATATTAAGATCCCCCTGGTAAATTTGTGTACTAAGATTGGTCACATTGGGATTAAGTGGTACAAAGTTAATTGTCACTAAGCAGGTAAACTTTAACATGAGATCTCAAATAAACTATGACCTTAGCTGTGATATGACAGCACCATAGTATGAAAATCCCCTCAGTGCATCTTACAAAAAGATTGATGGTTACAAAGTTATTTTTCACAAGAGAGTCTTGCAGATAAACTTTAACATATGACTTCAAATGACCTTTACCTTAGCATGTGACCTTTAACAGCACAATAGTGTGAAGGTCCCCCAAGTGCATATGTGACCTAAATTTGGTCACAATAGAATTGACCATCTGTAACAGTTGCAAAGTTATTGTCACAATAGAGTCTTGCAGGTAAGCTTAAACGTATGACCTCATATGACTTTTGGCCTTAGCATGTGACCCCTGACAACATTAAAGCCTGAACGTCCCCCAAATGCATCTGTGACCCAAGTTTGGTCACAATAGGATTATTTCCAAGTTATTTGTCACACAAGAGTCTTGCAGATAAACTTTATCATTTGTAAGGGATGGACGGATGGGGAGACAAGAACATTGTGGAGACAATTTTGGGCAAAATTGTCATTGCATCACATTATATCATATAGGATGAAATTATGAAATTGTGATGACGCACCTCTATTGCCATTGAAAAAAAGAACCTGTTATCAAACCCATAATATTAACCTATAAAATATCATTAAAATATCACTATGATGAAAATTCTTTACCTGTAACAACATTATTCTCTTTGAAGTTCATTATTGTATCTCTGCCATAAGAATCATCTCCAACCTATGGATATATTAAAAGAATGAAATAAATTGTAACACTTGATTACTCATACATGATAAATATAACACTAAAAATTAGCGATGATATGTGTAAAAGGTCAAACTAAATGGGTATGAAATCTCCATTTCAATGTCCAGATATTTTCTGAATGATGATCGTTTGGACTTCCTTGGAGCATTGGAAACAAAAAGAAAATGTTGCAACAAAACTGAAAATAGGCAGAAGTGGGATTAAGAAACAAATAATGCACATTATTAGATGTAATCAAGGATAATATTGTAATGAAAGTGATCGAAATGTGTTAATACACTGTATCTATAGGTATGAGATTAGGACTTTAGAACCATATTAGGAAATTATTTAACCATGGGAGGCAGTGTTAGAGACAAGAATGTGACTTCTCTAAATTTACTTGAGGTCAGAATGATAGCAATTACATGTAGCTTATAATAGATATGTGTGTTTTATAAATCTGCAACCATTATTATCATAACTATTATTATTATTATTATCATTGGTAGTAGCAGAAGTAGTAGTAGCAGAAGTAGTAGTAGTAGTAGTAGTAGTAGTAGTAGAAGAAGTGAAAGTAGTAGAAGTAGTAGTAGTAATAGTAGAAGTAGTAATAATAGTAGTAATAGTATTACATCTTGAACAAACATACAAAGAAAAAAATGAAACAAGCGTTCAGAAAATATAGATGATTTTCAAGCAAACTACAAAGCAGAAGCAGGATGTTAAATACAACCTCCTGTATTATATTTTACCACTTGTATCACCACCTCCAATAGTAGGGCCTTAACTGCTTTTGGCCATTCCGAGATAATCGCGTTTAAAGGTTTTGGCCTCTCTAATAATCAACAGTTTGTGGTTGTTTTTTTGTTTTTGAAGCCAATTTCGATATATGTGTTAAGTTATTGAGTTTTACATGAAATGTGTTAAATGTGTTATAAAATATTCAGAATTTTACATGCTATGTGCTATGTTAGGGCCTTTTTGGCATAAGGCTTGAATGTAGCGTATTTATGCCAGAAGGGCCGTAACCTACTCGGCATTATGCCAAAAGGGGCGTAACCTACGCGCCGTTATGCCAAAAGGGCCTTAACCTGCCGTTATCGTACGCGCGCATAGTTAGCGCCCTTCTGGCATAAGGAAATTTTCTTGTTTCGCAACACCTTTGGTTTGCTAGAAAGCCCCTCCTACGGCTACTGGATCACGAAAACTGATAAAAATGATTAATTAATATGTTTGAAAAAGTATTTTTGATATCTGAATATTTTTACTAATATAATGCAGCTCTCGGTAAAGTTATTTTTTGGAGATCGTACATTTAGGACACCTTTTTCGATGTTTATTTTTCATTACAGTCCAATACGTTGACATCTGCGTATTTCAACGAGTTGGTCGCATTTCATGAATCCACACCTAATTTAAATCTCACTCAGATTTCATTATCTAAATTCATGACATATACTTTCAGTGATTATTTAAAGTAAATTGTGTCTATTGTAGACTTATCATGTTTTTAATGGTGTTTCTACTGATATTTATTGAATTAAATGGAAATTACGAAATAATCTGTCAATGATAAAAGATTTGCCGTGTAGGTTAAGGCCCCTTTTGGCGTAAGGAAAAAGATGAGATACGCGTTAAAGCCCTTTTGAAATTCATAATTATCTTCATAAATAAATCGAATTTCAACAAGTGAAGCACATCATTTTAAAGAGAATGATGAAATCTACAAGGTGATGTTAATACCTCAATAACCCCCAAAATCGGGTAAAGGCCCTTTTGGCATAAGGCCGACGATATAATCTTATATTGAATTCTACCAGATTTAGCCACTTTCAGTCCTTATTGCTATTTGATCTCAATAACTTTTCTAATATTGAATTTGAATTTGAATTTGAATTTTGAATTTGAATTTATTAACAACAACACATCACAATAATGACAGTACATATGAACAATCATACAATGCAAAAAATAATACTGATACATGTATACATAACATAAGAGTAATGTAGATTGAACAGTAATGGTTTTAAAACGATATTTTTTAGACATACATCTGCATACTATTAAATGTACAAAAGATATATACGTAAATATGTATATTCCTGTGTTTAGGTGAAGTTGTTAATGGGAACTAGAAGTTAGCACAAGTGCTAGTCGAGCCTAGTTCCACTCTTTGGCAAGATTTTTTCTGTTAATTTGTTTTTACATATGAATGTAAAACTTGTTTGTTTTGCATTTACATATATACAACAAAATAATACAATATCATGTAACTTTTTTTCTTTACTGAAATGAAAAAATAAAAATAAAAAAGTTTAAGCGTTAAAGCATTATAATGAAAGAAGACAAAATCAACAATGTGTTCATGAAAATGAAAAGGATGTACTAATAAAAATAATCATACACATGTACGTACATGCACAAGTCCTGTAAAAGCTTAAGGCCGCTATAATCGTTAACAAGGAAGTGTTTACATATATAAAAGGAAGACAAGTAATATAAAAGGAAAATACGAAGGGGGATGGGATTGAGCCCACGTCATTTACATTGAAGGTAGGTGGAAAGATGTCTCCGAAAAGATAACCTTGATGCTTTTAATCTAATTTCATCTGGCAGATCATTCCACAGCTTTGTTCCTACATACGAAATACAAAATTGCCCCCGCGTTGTCTTACATTTTGGTTGATAAAGTAAGCCACTTTCTTTTCTCCTAGTTGCATATCTGTGCTGTATCATCTGACAATAATCCACTAAAGAGTGTGGTAAAAAACCTTTTACCAAATCGTACATAAATGTTGATACAAGAAGTTCATGAAGTTGAAAAATATTTAAAATTTTTAGACTTTGAAAAAGAGCCTTGGAGTCTGTTCTAAGTGGACTGAATGTAATTGCTCTCATTGCCATTTTTTGACTTAATATATACAATTTAGATTACTTTTGTAAGTGCTCCCCCATACTTCTACTCCATAAGAGAGGTGAGGCTGTATAAAAGCCTTATATAATAACACAAGTATATTCTTGGGAACAAAATGTCTCAGTTTAAACAGAATACCTACTTTCTTTCTTATGCATTTGTTTATTGTCTGAATATGTTCTTTCCATGAAAGGTGACAATCAATTTCAATTCCTACAAATGATGCAACAGATACCTCTTTAATATCTGATCTTGATATTCTCACAGATCCCTTTTTGTCTATTGATCTACCTTTGGATTTCATAATCATATAGTTTGTTTTCTGTAGGTTAATTGTGACTTCATTTGCATTACACCATTCCTGCACCTTCATTAAATTTTCACTTACAATTTCTAAATCAATTTCTTTTTGTCTAGGATTAAAAGTATGAAAAAGATTTGAGTCATCAGCAAATAATCTGAAATTGAAAAAGTTTGTGGAGTTAGGTAAGTCATTTATATATATTAAAAATAATGTTGGTCCAAGAACGGAGCCTTGAGGGACACCACATGTTATATTCAATTTCAAAGACATTTTGTCTTTATATTGTATAAACTGTGATCGTTTACACAAATAATCTTCAAACCATTGCAAGGCTAACCCACGTATTCCATAGTGTGACAATTTTTTGAGGAGAATGCTGTGGTTTATAGTATCAAATGCCTTTTGAAAGTCAATAAAGATGCCAACCGTTGTTCTACCTTCATCAAAGTATTTCAATAATGTATTTGCAAGATTAATCAAAGATAACTTAGTGCTATGTTTCTTACGGAAACCATACTGGTGTTGAAACAAGATATTATTTGCTTCCAAATAGTCAATTACACGATTATTTATTATTTTCTCAAAGATTTTAACCAGTATAGGTAAAACTGAAATAGGTCTGTAATTACCAGCTAGATCTTTTCGCCCCTTTTTATAAATGGGTGTCACTTTTGCTACTTTCAGTGCGTCTGGAAATTTTCCTCTTTCTATGGAAAGATTGAAAATATATGTTAATGAGCTTCAAATGTATAGGGCAGCATCCCTCAACAATCTTGCCGGCAAATTATCATAGCCACATGCTTTTTTTGTATCTAAAGTCTGTAAGTGGCATTTCAATTCATTCTCAGTTATTGGTTTTAAAAATAGTGATTTTTCTGTTCTATATCCTAAATATTCTGTAAAGTCAGAATTCACTGGTGGTATTTCCTTTGCCAGCTTTGGACCTATGTTTACAAAAAAGTTGTTAAGTTCGTTAGCTATTTCATTGTCAGAAGTTATCACTCTATTTTCTTCACCACCTGAGCTTAATAATTTCTCTACATTGGTCACTTTATTTTTGACATTTCCACCACTCAACAACTCGTTAATTGTTCTCCACGTTTTACGACTATCATTCTTATTAATGAAGAAGAGGTTACTATAATATTGTCTCTTTGCATTTCGTAGAACTGTAGTTAGAACATTTCTATACCTCTTGTATTCTTCCTCGCCTTTCTGTTGGAAATTTGATGCCTTTAGTTTAGAATACAACTTGTGCTTCTTCTTGACTGATTTTAAAATAGCATTAGTCATCCATGGTTTTCTCCCAGCATTTTCCCCCTTTTTTAGGTTCTTCGAAGTTGATGATATAATTGGTGCATGCTTGTCACAGACTTGCGTAAACAAGTTGTAAAATACAGAGTATGACTCATTTAATTTTGTACAACCACTTACATTGTTCCAATCAATTTTACCTAGATCATCATGGAATTTATTAATATCATAATTTCTGAAGGTACGAAACACAGACTTTTTGTGGCTTGTTTTACTTGCCTTTTTAAGATGCTCAAATGCAACAAAGATAGGGAAATGATCTGATATATCAGTTTCTATAACTCCAGCATGAATAGAAGAAATTGTTACATTAGTGTACACATGGTCAATAAGAGAGGAAGTTGTTTTAGTTACTCTTGTTGGTGAAGTGATTAGTTGCTGCATACCCAAACATTGTAAAGAAGTTAAAAATTGTTCTGCTTTTATATCTATTCCTTCATTGTGTAGTACATT